GCATGATGTGACGGTAAAGCCTTTGCATCATTACTGACTTCTTTATATCCAAGCTTACAGTACCTGGTATTCCTCAGCGGTCACCCATCTAGTTACTGACTAGGCTCGATGTTGCTCTACTTCCGTGATCGTACAGGAACCAGTGTTTCAGCATGATGTGACGGTAAAGCCTTTGCATCATCTTTTATATCCAAGCTTACAGTACCTGGTATTCCTCAGCGGTCACCCATCTAGTTACTTCCGTGACTAGGCTCGATGTTGCTCTTTTACTTCCGTGATCGTAGATAGAACCAGTGTTTCAACAGGAAACATGATGATGACCGTAAAGCCTTTGCATCATCATCTTTATATCCAAGCTTACAGTACCTGGTATTCCTCAGCGGTCACCCATCTAGTTACTGACTAGGCTCGATGTTGCTCAACTTCCGTGATCGTACAGGAACCAGTGTTTCAGCATGATGTGACCGTAAAGCCAAGCTTACAGTTGGTATTCATCATCTCTTTTATATCCAATGTTGCTTACATCGTACAGGAACCAGTGTTTCACATGATGTGACCGTGGTTTATCCATTCTTTATATCCAATCTCAGCTGGTATTCCTCAGCGGTCACCCATCTAGTTACTGACTAGGCTCGATGTTGTCTACTTCCGTGATCGTACAGGAACCAGTGTTTCAGCATGATGTGACCGTAAAGCCTTTTTATATCATCATCTTTATATCCAAGCTTACAGTACCTGGTATTCCTCAGCGGTCACCATCTAGTTACTGACTAGGCTCGATGTTGCTAAACTTCCGTGATCGTACAGGAACCAGTGTTTCAGCATGATGTGACCGTAAAGCCTTTGCATCATCTTTTATATCCAAGCTTACAGTACCTGGTATTCCTCAGCGGTCACCCATCTAGTTACTGACTAGGCTCGATGTTGCCTAAACTTCCGTGATCGTACAGGGAACCAGGTTTCAAATGATGTGACCGTAAAGCCTTTGCATCATCTTTATATTCAAGCTTACAGTACCTGGTATTCCTCAGCGGTCACCCATCTAGTTACTGACTAGGCTCGATGTTGCTAAACTTCCGTGATCGTACAGGAACCAGTGTTTCAATGATGTGACCGTAAATCCTTTTGCATCATCTTTATATCCAAGCTTACAGTACCTGGTATTCCTCAGCGGTCACCCATCTAGTTACTGACTAGGCTCGATGTTGCTCTAACTTCCGTGATCGTACAGGAACCAGTGTTTCAGCATGATGTGACCATAAAGCCTTTGCATCATCTTTTTATATCAAAGCTTACAGTACCTGGTATTCCTCAGCGGTCACCCATCTAGTTACTGCTATCGATGTTGCTCGGCTTTCCCGTGATCGTACAGGAACCAGTGTTTCAGCATGATGTGACCGTAAACCTTTTGCATCATTTTTCTTTATATCCAAGCTTACAGTACCTGGTATTCCTCAGCGGTCACCCATCTAGTTACTGACTAGGGTCGATGTTGCTCAACTTCCGTGATCGTACAGGAACCAGTGTTTCAGCATGATGTGACCGTAAAGCCTTTGCATCATCTTTATATCCAAGCTTACAGTACCTGGTATTCCTCAGCGGTCACCCATCTAGTTACTGACTAGGCTCGATGTTGCTCAACTTCCGTGATCGTACAGGAACCAGTGTTTCAGCATGATGTGACCGTAAAGCCTTTGCATCATCTTTATATCCAAGCTACAGTACCTGGTATTCCCTCGGCGGTCACCCATCTAGCGGTCACCCATCGTAGAGGAACCAGTGTTTCAACATGATGTGACCGTAAAGCCTTTGCATCATCTTTATATCCAAGCTTACAGTACCTGGTATTCCTCAGAGGTCACCCATTAGTTCCTCAGGGGCTCGATGTCACTCTATCGATGTTTTGCTCAACTTCCGTGATCGTGGTATTCCTCAGGAACCCAGTGTTTCAGCATGTTGTGATCGTAAAACCAGTGTTTGCTTTGCATCATCTTTTATATCCAAGCTTACAGTACCTGGTATTCCTCAGCGGTCACCCATCTAGTTACTGACTAGGCTTCGATGTTGCTCTACATCCGTGATCGTACAGGAACCAGTGTTTCAGCATGATGTGACCGTAAAGCCTTTGCATCATCTTTATATCCAAGCTTACAGTACCTGGTATTCCTCAGCGGTCACCCATCTAGTTACTGACTAGGCTCGATGTTGCTAAACTTCCGTGATCGTACAGGAACCAGTGTTTCAGCATGATGTGACCGTAAAGCCTTTGCATCATCTTTATATCCAAGCTTACAGTACCTGGTATTCCTCAGCGGTCACCCATCTAGTTACTGACTAGGCTCGATGTTGCTCAACTTCCGTGATCGTACAGGAACCAGTGTTTCAGCATGATGTGACCGTAAAGCCTTTGCATCATCTTTATATCCAAGCTTACAGTACCTGGTATTCCTCAGCGGTCACCCATCTAGTTACTGACTAGGCTCGATGTTGCTCTACTTCCGTGATCGTACAGGAACCAGTGTTTCAGCATGATGTGACCGTAAAGCCTTTGCATCATCTTTATATCCAAGCTTACAGTACCTGGTATTCCTCAGCGGTCACCCATCTAGTTACTGACTAGGGCTCGATGTTGCTCAACATCCGTGATCGTACAGGAACCAGTGTTTCAGCATGATGTGACGGTAAAGCCTTTGCATCATCTTTATATCCAAGCTTACAGTACCTGGTATTCCTCAGCGGTCACCCATCTAGTTACTGACTAGGATCGATGTTGCTCAACATCCGTGATCGTAGAGGAACCAGTGTTTCAGCATGATGTGACGGTAAAGCCTTTGCATCATCTTTTATATCCAAGCTTACAGTACCTGGTATTCCTCAGCGGTCACCCATCTAGTTACTGACTAGGCTCGATGTTGCTCTAACATCCGTGATCGTACAGGAACCAGTGTTTCAGCATGATGTGACCGTAAAAGCCTTTGCATCATCTTTATATCCAAGCTTACAGTACCTGGTATTCCTCAGCGGTCACCCATCTAGTTACTGACTAGGCTCGATGTTGCTCAACATCCGTGATCGTACAGGAACCAGTGTTTCAGCATGATGTGACGGTAAAGCCTTTGCATCATCTTTTATATCCAAGCTTACAGTACCTGGTATTCCTCAGCGGTCACCCATCTAGTTACTGACTAGGGCTCGATGTTTGCTCTAACTTCCGTGATCGTACAGGAACCAGTGTTTCAGCATGATGTGACCGTAAAGCCTTTGCATCATCTTTATATCCAAGCTTACAGTACCTGGTATTCCTCAGCGGTCACCCATCTAGTTACTGACTAGGCTCGATGTTGCTCAACTTCCGTGATCGTACAGGAACCAGTGTTTCAGCATGATGTGACCGTAAAGCCTTTGCATCATCTTTTATATCCAAGCTTACAGTACCTGGTATTCCTCAGCGGTCACCCATCTAGTTACTGACTAGGCTCGATGTTGCTCTACATCCGTGATCGTACAGGAACCAGTGTTTCAGCATGATGTGACCGTAAAGCCTTTGCATCATCTTTTTATATCCAAGCTTACAGTACCTGGTATTCCTCAGCGGTCACCCATCTAGTTACAGTGGTATTCCTAGCGGTCACCCATCTAGACTGTTGCTAAACATCCGTGATCGTAGAGGAACCAGTGTTTCAGCATGATGTGACCGTAAAAAGCCTTTGCATCATCTTTTATATCCAAGCTTACAGTACCTGGTATTCCTCAGCGGTCACCCATCTAGTTACTGACTAGGCTCGATGTTGCTAAACTTCCGTGATCGTACAGGAACCAGTGTTTCAGCATGATGTGACGGTAAAGCCTTTGCATCATCTTTATATCCAAGCTTACAGTACCTGGTATTCCTCAGCGGTCACCCATCTAGTTACTGACTAGGCTCGATGTTGCTCTACATCCCGTGATCGTACAGGAACCAGTGTTTCAGCATGATGTGACCGTAAAGCCTTTGCATCATCTTTATATCCAAGCTTACAGTACCTGGTATTCCTCAGCGGTCACCCATCTAGTTACTGACTAGGCTCGATGTTGCTCAACTTCCGTGATCGTAGAGGAACCAGTGTTTCAGCATGATGTGACCGTAAAGCCTTTGCATCATCTTTATATCCAAGCTTACAGTACCTGGTTTTCCTCAGCGGTCACCCATCTAGTTACTGACTAGGCTCGATGTTGCTCAACATCCGTGATCGTACAGGAACCAGTGTTTCAGCATGATGTGACCGTAAAGCCTTTGCATCATCTTTATATCCAAGCTTACAGTACCTGGTATTCCTCAGCGGTCACCCATCTAGTTACTGACTAGGCTCGATGTTGCTCAACATCCGTGATCGTACAGGAACCAGTGTTTCAGCATGATGTGACCGTAAAGCCTTTGCATCATCTTTATATCCAAGCTTACAGTACCTGGTATTCCTCAGCGGTCACCCATCTAGTTACTGACTAGGCTCGATGTTGCTCAACATCCGTGATCGTACAGGAACCAGTGTTTCAGCATGATGTGACCGTAAAGCCTTTGCATCATCTTTTATATCAAGCTTACAGTACCTGGTATTCCTCAGCGGTCACCCATCTAGTTACTGACCAGGCTCGATGTTGCTCAACATCCGTGATCGTACAGGAACCAGTGTTTCAGCATGATGTGACCGTAAAGCCTTTGCATCATCTTTATATCCAAGCTTACAGTACCTGGTATTCCTCAGCGGTCACCCATCTAGTTACTGACTAGGCTCGATGTTGCTCAACATCCGTGATCGTACAGGAACCAGTGTTTCAGCATGATGTGACCGTAAAGCCTTTGCATCATCTTTATATCCAAGCTTACAGTACCTGGTATTCCTCAGCGGTCACCCATCTAGTTACTGACTAGGCTCGATGTTGCTCAACATCCGTGATCGTACAGGAACCAGTGTTTCAGCATGATGTGACCGTAAAGCCTTTGCATCATCTTTATATCCAAGCTTACAGTACCTGGTATTCCTCAGCGGTCACCCATCTAGTTACTGACTAGGCTCGATGTTGCTCAACTTCCGTGATCGTACAGGAACCAGTGTTTTCAGCATGATGTGACCGTAAAGCCTTTGCATCATCTTTTATATCCAACCTGGTATTCCTCGGCGGTACAGTACCTGGTATTCCCGTGATCGTAGAGTGTTTCGGTCACCCATCTAGTTACAGACTAGGGGTCACCATCTAGTTATGTTGCTCTAACATCCGTGATCGTACAGGAACCAGTGTTTCAGCATGATGTGACCGTAAAGCCTTTGCATCATCTTTATATCCAAGCTTACAGTACCTGGTATTCCTCAGCGGTCACCCATCTAGTTACTGACTAGGCTCGATGTTGCTCAAACATCCGTGATCGTAGAGGAACCAGTGTTTCAGCATGATGTGACCGTAAAGCCTTTGCATCATCTTTATATCCAAGCTTACAGTACCTGGTATTCCTCAGCGGTCACCCATCTAGTTACTGACTAGGCTCGATGTTGCTCAACATCCGTGATCGTACAGGAACCAGTGTTTCAGCATGATGTGACCGTAAAGCCTTTGCATCATCTTTTATATCCAAGCTTACAGTACCTGGTATTCCTCAGCGGTCACCCATCTAGTTACTGACTAGGCTCGATGTTGCTCAACATCCGTGATCGTACAGGAACCAGTGTTTCAGCATGATGTGACCGTAAAGCCTTTGCATCATCTTTATATCCAAGCTTACAGTACCTGGTATTCCTCAGCGGTCACCCATCTAGTTACTGACTAGGCTCGATGTTGCTCAACATCCGTGATCGTACAGGAACCAGTGTTTCAGCATGATGTGACCGTAAAGCCTTTGCATCATCTTTATATCCAAGCTTACAGTACCTGGTATTCCTCAGCGGTCACCCATCTAGTTACTGACTAGGCTCGATGTTGCTCAACATCCGTGATCGTACAGGAACCAGTGTTTCAGCATGATGTGACCGTAAAGCCTTTGCATCATCTTTATATCCAAGCTTACAGTACCTGGTATTCCTCAGCGGTCACCCATCTAGTTACTGACTAGGATCGATGTTGCTCAACATCCGTGATCGTAGAGGAACCAGTGTTTCAGCATGATGTGACGGTAAAGCCTTTGCATCATCTTTATATCCAAGCTTACAGTACCTGGTATTCCTCAGCGGTCACCCATCTAGTTACTGACTAGGCTCGATGTTGCTCAACATCCGTGATCGTACAGGAACCAGTGTTTCAGCATGATGTGACCGTAAAGCCTTTGCATCATCTTTATATCCAAGCTTACAGTACCTGGTATTCCTCAGCGGTCACCCATCTAGTTACTGACTAGGCTCGATGTTGCTCAACATCCGTGATCGTACAGGAACCAGTGTTTCAGCATGATGTGACGGTAAAGCCTTTGCATCATCTTTATATCCAAGCTTACAGTACCTGGGCTATTTGCCTCATCGGTCACCCATCTTATATCCAAGCTGAGTTACTACTGACTAGGCTCGATGTTGCTCTACTTCCGTGATCGTACAGGAACCAGTGTTTCAGCATGATGTGACCGTAAAGCCTTTGCATCATCTTTATATCCAAGCTTACAGTACCTGGTATTCCTCAGCGGTCACCCATCTAGTTACTGACCAAGCTCGATGTTGCTCTACATCCGTGATCGTACAGGAACCAGTGTTTCAGCATGATGTGACCGTAAAAGTCTTTGCATCATTTTATATCCAAGCTTACAGTACCTGGTATTCCTCAGCGGTCACCCATCTAGTTACTGACTAGGCTCGATGTTGCTCTACTTCCGTGATCGTACAGGAACCAGTGTTTCAGCATGATGTGACCGTAAAGCCTTTGCATCATCTTTATATCCAAGCTTACAGTACCTGGTATTCCTCAGCGGTCACCCATCTAGTTACTGACTAGGCTCGATGTTGCTCAACTTCCGTGATCGTACAGGAACCATCTGTTTCAGCATGATGTGACCGTAACAGGAACCAGTTTGCATCATCTTTTTATATCCAATCAAGCTTACAGTACCTGGTATTCCTCAGCGGTCACCCATCTAGTTACTGACTAGGCTCGATGTTGCTCTCACTTCCGTGATCGTACAGGAACCAATGTTTCAGCATGATGTGACCGTAAAGCCTTTGCATCATCTTTATATCCAAGCTTACAGTACCTGGTATTCCTCAGCGGTCACCCATCTAGTTACTGACTAGGCTCGATGTTGCTCAACTTCCGTGATCGTACAGGAACCAGTGTTTCAGCATGATGTGACGTAAAGCCTTGCATCATCTTTATATCCAAGCTTACAGTACCTGGTATTCCTCAGCGGTCACCCATCTAGTTACTGACTAGGCTCGATGTTGCTCAACTTCCGTGATCGTACAGGAACCAGTGTTTCAGCATGATGTGACCGTAAAGCCTTTGCATCATCTTTATATCCAAGCTTACAGTACCTGGTATTCCTCAGCGGTCACCCATCTAGTTACTGACTAGGCTCGATGTTGCTAAACTTCCGTGATCGTACAGGAACCAGTGTTTCAGCATGATGTGACGGTAAAGCCTTTGCATCATCTTTATATCCATACCTGGTATTCCAAGCTTACATCTAGTTACCTAGGCTCGATGTTCCTCTTCCGTGATCGTACAGGAACCAGTGTTTCAGCATGATGTGACACCATCTATCCAAGCTTACAGTACCTGGTATTCCTCAGACCCATCTAGTTACTGACTAGGCTCGATGTTGCTCAACTTCCGTGATCGTACAGGAACCAGTGTTTCAGCATGATGTGACCGTAAAGCCTTTGCATCATCTTTATATCCAAGCTTACAGTACCTGGTATTCCTCAGCGGTCACCCATCTAGTTACTGACTAAGTTCGATGTTGCTCAACTTCCGTGATCGTACAGGAACCAGTGTTTCAGCATGATGTGACGGTAAAGCCTTTGCATCATCTTTTATATCCAAGCTTACAGTACCTGGTATTCCTCAGCGGTCACCCATCTAGTTACTGACTAGGCTCGATGTTGCTCAACTTCCGTGATCGTACAGGAACCAGTGTTTCAGCATGATGTGACCGTAAAGTTTGCATCATCTTTTATATCCAAGCTTACAGTACCTGGTATTCCTCAGCGGTCACCCATCTAGTTACTGACTAGGCTCGATGTTGCTCAACTTCCGTGATCGTACAGGAACCAATGTTTCAGCATGATGTGACCGTAAAGTGTCATCTTTATATCCAAGCTTACAGTACCTGGTATTCCTCAGTGGTCACCCATCTAGTTACAGACTAGGCTCTATGTTGCTCAACTTCCGTGATTGTACAGGAACCAATGTTTCAGCATGATGTGACCGTAAAGCCTTTGCATCATCTTTATATCCAAGCTTACAGTACCTGGTATTCCTCAGCGGTCACCCATCTAGATACTGACCAGGCTCGATGTTGCTCAACTTCCGTGATCGTACAGGAACCAGTATTTCAGCATGATGTGACCGTAAAGACTTTGCATCATCTTTATATCCAAGCTTACAGTACCTTGTATTCCTCAGCGGTCACCCATCTAGTTACTGACCATGCTCGATGTTGCTAAACTTCCGTGATCATACAGGAACCAGTGTTTCAGCATTATGTGACCGTAAAACCTTTGCATCATCTTTATATCCAAGCTTACAGTACCTGGTATTCCTCAGTGGTCACCCATCTAGTTACAGACTAGGCTCTATGTTGCTCAACTTCCGTGATTGTACAGGAACCAATGTTTCAGCATGATGTGACCGTAATGTGTCATCTTTATATCCAAGCTTACAGTACCTGGTATTCCTCAGCGGTCACCCATCTAGTTACTGACTACGCTCGATGTTGCTCAACTTCCGTGATCGTACAGGAACCAATGTTTCAGCATGATGTGACCGTAATGTGTCATCTTTATATCCAAGCTTACAGTACCTGGTATTCCTCAGAGGTCACCCATCTAGTTACTGACTAGGCTCGATGTTGCTCAACATCCGTGATCGTACAGGAACCAGTGTTTCAGCATGATGTGACCGTAAAGCCTTTGTCATCTTTATATCCAAGCTTACAGTACCTGGTATTCCTCAGCGGTCACCCATCTAGTTACTGACTAGGCTCGATGTTGCTCAACATCCGTGATCGTACAGGAACCAGTGTTTCAGCATGATGTGACCGTAAAGTTTGCATCATTTTTTTATATCCAAGCTTACAGTACCTGGTATTCCTCAGCGGTCACCCATCTAGTTACTGACTAGGCTCGATGTTGCTCAACATCCGTGATCGTACAGGAACCAATGTTTCAGCATGATGTGACCGTAAAACCTTTGCATCATCTTTATATCCAAGCTTACAGTACCTGGTATTCCTCAGCGGTCACCCATCTAGTTACTGACTAGGCTCGATGTTGCTCAACATCCGTGATCGTACAGGAACCAATGTTTCAGCATGATGTGACCGTAAAGTGTCATCTTTATATCCAAGCTTACAGTACCTGGTATTCCTCAGCGGTCACCCATCTAGTTACTGACTAGGCTCGATGTTGCTCAACTTCCGTGATCGTACAGGAACCAATGTTTCAGCATGATGTGACCGTAATGTGTCATCTTTATATCCAAGTTTACAGTACCTGGTATTCCTCAGCGGTCACCCATCTAGTTACTGACTAAGTTCGATGTTGCTCAACATCCGTGATCGTACAGGAACCAGTGTTTCAGCATGATGTGACCGTAAAGCCTTTGCATCATCTTTATATCCAAGCTTACAGTACCTGGTATTCCTCAGCGGTCACCCATCTAGTTACTGACTAAGTTCGATGTTGCTCAACATCCGTGATCGTACAGGAACCAGTGTTTCAGCATGATGTGACCGTAAAGCCTTTGCATCATCTTTATATCCAAGCTTACAGTACCTGGTATTCCTTAGCGGTCACCCATCTAGTTACTGACCATGCTCGATGTTGCTAAACTTCCGTGATCATACAGGAACCAGTGTTTCAGCATTATGTGACCGTAAACCCTTTGCATCATCTTTATATCCAAGCTTACAGTACCTGGTATTCCTCAGCGGTCACCCATCTAGTTACAGACTAGGCTCGATGTTGCTCAACTTCCGTGATCGTACAGGAACCAATGTTTCAGCATGATGTGACCGTAATGTTTCATCTTTTATATCCAAGCTTACAGTACCTGGTATTCCTCAGCGGTCACCCATCTAGTTACTGACTAGGCTCGATGTTGCTCTACTTCCGTGATCGTACAGGAACCAATGTTTCAGCATGATGTGACCGTAATGTGTCATCTTTATATCCAAGCTTACAGTACCTGGTATTCCTCAGCGGTCACCCATCTAGATACTGACCAGGCTCGATGTTGCTCAACTTCCGTGATCGTACAGGAACCAGTATTTCAGCATGATATGGCCGTAAAGACTTTGCAACCTCTTCACATCCAAGCTTACAGTACCTTGTATTCCTCAGCGGTCACCCATCTAGTTACTGACCATGCTCGATGTTGCTAAACTTCCGTGATCATACAGGAACCAGTGTTTCAGCATTATGTGACCGTAAACCCTTTGCATCATCTTTATATCCAAGCTTACAGTACCTGGTATTCCTCAGTGGTCACCCATCTAGTTACAGACTAGGCTCTATGTTGCTCAACTTCCGTGATTGTACAGGAACCAATGTTTCAGCATGATGTGACCGTAATGTGTCATCTTTATATCCAAGCTTACAGTACCTGGTATTCCTCAGTGGTCACCCATCTAGTTACAGACTAGGCTCTATGTTGCTCAACTTCCGTGATCGTACAGGAACCAATGTTTCAGCATGATGTGACCGTAATGTTTCATCTTTATATCCAAGCTTACAGTACCTGGTATTCCTCAGCGGTCACCCATCTAGTTACTGACTAGGCTTCGATGTTGCTCAACATCCGTGATCGTACAGGAACCAATGTTTCAGCATGATGTGACCGTAAAGACTTTCAACATCTTTATATCCAAGCTTACAGTACCTGGTATTCCTCAGTGGTCACCCATCTAGTTACTGACCAGGCTCGATGTTGCTCAACTTCCGTGATCGTACAGGAACCAATGTTTCAGCATGATGTGACCGTAAACCCTTTGCATCATCTTTATATCCAAGCTTACAGTACCTGGTATTCCTCAGCGGTCACCCATCTAGTTACTGACTAGGCTCGATGTTGCTCAACTTCCGTGATCGTACAGGAACCAATGTTTCAGCATGATGTGACCGTAATGTGTCATCTTTATATCCAAGCTTACAGTACCTGGTATTCCTCAGTGGTCACCCATCTAGTTACAGACTAGGCTCTATGTTGCTCAACTTCCGTGATTGTACAGGAACCAATGTTTCAGCATGATGTGACCGTAATGTGTCATCTTTATATCCAAGCTTACAGTACCTGGTATTCCTCAGCGGTCACCCATCTAGATACTGACCAGGCTGGATGTTGCTCAACTTCCGTGATCGTACAGGAACCAATGTTTCAGCATGATGTGACCGTAATGTGTCATCTTTATATCCAAGCTTACAGTACCTGGTATTCCTCAGCGGTCACCCATCTAGTTACTGACCAGGCTCGATGTTGCTCAACTTCCGTGATCATACAGGAACCAGTGTTTCAGCATGATGTGACCGTAAAACTTTGCATCATCTTTATATCCAAGCTTACAGTACCTTGTATTCCTCAGTGGTCACCCATCTAGTTACAGACTAGGCTCGATGTTGCTAAACTTCCGTGATCATACAGGAACCAATGTTTCAGCATGATGTGACCGTAAAACCCTTGTCATCTTTATATCCAAGCTTACAGTACCTGGTATTCCTCAGTGGTCACCCATCTAGTTACAGACTAGGCTCGATGTTGCTCAACTTCCGTGATTGTACAGGAACCAATGTTTCAGCATGATGTGACCGTAATGTGTCATCTTTATATCCAAGCTTACAGTACCTGGTATTCCTCAGCGGTCACCCATCTAGTTACTGACTAGGCTCGATGTTGCTCAACTTCCGTGATCGTACAGGAAACCAATGTTTCAGCATGATGTGACCGTAATGTGTCATCTTTATATCCAAGCTTACAGTACCTGGTATTCCTCAGCGGTCACCCATCTAGTTACCAGACTAGGCTCGTATGTTGCTCAACTTCCGTGATTGTACAGGAACCAATGTTTCAGCATGATGACCAGTGACCGTAATGTGTCATCTTTATATCCAAGCTTACAGTACCTGGTATTCCTCAGCGGTCACCCATCTAGTTACTGACTAGGCTCTATGTTGCTCAACTTCCGTGATTGTACAGGAACCAATGTTTCAGCATGATGTGACCGTAATGTGTCATCTTTATATCCAAACAGTACCTGGTATTCCTCAGCGGTCACCCATCTAGTTACTGACTAGGCTCGATGTTGCTCAACTTCCGTGATCGTACAGGAACCAATGTTTCAGCATGATGTGACCGTAATGTGTCATCTTTATATCCAAGTTACAGTACCTGGTATTCCTCAGCGGTCACCCATCTAGTTACTGACTAGGCTCGATGTTGCTCAACTTCCGTGATCGTACAGGAACCAATGTTTCAGCATGATGTGACCGTAATGTGTCATCTTTATATCCAAGCTTACAGTACCTGGTATTCCTCAGCGGTCACCCATCTAGTTACTGACTAGGCTCGATGTTGCTCAACTTCCGTGATCGTACAGGAACCAATGTTTCAGCATGATGTGACCGTAATGTGTCATCTTTATATCCAAGCTTACAGTACCTGGTATTCCTCAGCGGTCACCCATCTAGTTACTGACTAGGCTCGATGTTGCTCAACTTCCGTGATTGTACAGGAACCAATGTTTCAGCATGATGTGACCGTAATGTGTCATCTTTATATCCAGGTAACCTGGTATTCCTCAGCGGTCACCCATCTAGTTACTGACAGGCTCGATGTTGCTCAACTTCCGTGATCGTACAGGAACCAATGTTTCAGCATGATGTGACCGTAATGTGTCATCTTTATATCCAAGCTTACAGTACCTGGTATTCCTCAGCGGTCACCCATCTAGTTAATGACTAGGCTCGATGTTGCTCAACTTCCGTGATCGTACAGGAACCAATGTTTCAGCATGATGTGACCGTAATGTGTCATCTTTATATCCAAGCTTACAGTACCTGGTATTCCTCAGCGGTCACCCATCTAGTTACTGACTAGGCTCGATGTTGCTCAACTTCCGTGATCGTACAGGAACCAATGTTTCAGCATGATGTGACCGTAATGTGTCATCTTTATATCCAAGCTTACAGTACCTGGTATTCCTCAGCGGTCACCCATCTAGTTACTGACTAGGCTCGATGTTGCTCAACTTCCGTGATCGTACAGGAACCAATGTTTCAGCATGATGTGACCGTAATGTGTCATCTTTATATCCCTGGTAAGTCACCCATTACAGTTACCTGGTTGCTCAACTTCCGTGATTCCTCAGCGGTCACCCATCTTTATATCCAGCTTACAGTACCTGGTATTCCTCAGCGGTCACCCATCTAGTTACTGACTAGGCTCGATGTTGCTCAACTTCCGTGATCGTACAGGAACCAATGTTTCAGCATGATGTGACCGTAATGTGTCATCTTTATATCCAAGCTTACAGTACCTGGTATTCCTCAGCGGTCACCCATCTAGTTACTGACTAGGCTCGATGTTGCTCAACTTCCGTGATCGTACAGGAACCAATGTTTCAGCATGATGTGACCGTAATGTGTCATCTTTATATCCAAGCTTACAGTACCTGGTATTCCTCAGCGGTCACCCATCTAGTTACTGACTAGGCTCGATGTTGCTCAACTTCCGTGATCGTACAGGAACCAATGTTTCAGCATGATGTGACCGTAATGTGTCATCTTTATATCCAAGTTTACAGTACCTGGTATTCCTCAGCGGTCACCCATCTAGTTACTGACTAGGCTCGATGTTGCTCAACTTCCGTGATCGTACAGGAACCAATGTTTCAGCATGATGTGACCGTAATGTGTCATCTTTATATCCAAGCTTACAGTACCTGGTATTCCTCAGCGGTCACCCATCTAGTTACTGACTAGGCTCGATGTTGCTCAACTTCCGTGATCGTACAGGAACCAATGTTTCAGCATGATGTGACCGTAATGTGTCATCTTTATATCCAAGCTTACAGTACCTGGTATTCCTCAGCGGTCACCCATCTAGTTACTGACTAGGCTCGATGTTGCTCAACTTCCGTGATTGTACAGGAACCAATGTTTCAGCATGATGTGACCGTAATGTGTCATCTTTATATCCAAGCTTACAGTACCTGGTATTCCTCAGCGGTCACCCATCTAGTTACTGACTAGGCTCGATGTTGCTCAACTTCCGTGATCGTACAGGAACCAATGTTTCAGCATGATGTGACCGTAATGTGTCATCTTTATATCCAAGCTTACAGTACCTGGTATTCCTCAGCGGTCACCCATCTAGTTACTGACTAGGCTCGATGTTGCTCAACTTCCGTGATCGTACAGGAACCAATGTTTCAGCATGATGTGACCGTAATGTGTCATCTTTATATCCAAGCTTACAGTACCTGGTATTCCTCAGCGGTCACCCATCTAGTTACTGACTAGGCTCGATGTTGCTCAACTTCCGTGATCGTCCAGGAACCAATGTTTCAGCATGATGTGACCGTAATGTGTCATCTTTATATCAAGCTTACAGTACCTGGTATTCCTCATCACCCATCTAGTTACTGACTAGGCTCGATGTTGCTCAACTTCCGTGATCGTACAGGAACCAATGTTTCAGCATGATGTGACCGTAATGTGTCATCTTTATATCCAAGCTTACAGTACCTGGTATTCCTCAGCGGTCACCCATCTAGTTACTGACTAGGCTCGATGTTGCTCAACTTCCGTGATCGTACAGGAACCAATGTTTCAGCATGATGTGACCGTAATGTGTCATCTTTATATCCAAGCTTACAGTACCT